AATCCCTATGCAGCGCCGCATGTTAAGCCCGAGTGTAGCTCGGGGTTACCGCTCTTGGTACTGAAATTTTACCCCGAGCTACACTTGGGAATACCGCCAGGGAGGTTAATAGCAAAAAGTAAAAAATACAGTTTTTTTGGGTTTTTTTCGCAAAAAATAAAAACTGCAGAGGTGATCAAATACTACCAAAAGAAAGCTCCATTTGTGGGGAAAAAAGGACATAAATTTCATTTGGGTGCAGTGTTGCATGACCGCGCAATTGTCAATTAAAGTAACACAGCACTGTATCGCAAAAAATGGCCTGGTCAGGAAGGAGGGTAAATCCTCTGGACGGCACATGGTTAAAGCATGGAAAGCAAGGCACAAGGTACAAGTGAAACAAAAAACCCCAAAAGCTCAGTATTCCAATACACAAGTAGACAAATCTATTAAAAAAGAAAAGGACAACCTAAGATAGCCTAAGAAGAAGCAATTATAAAAGTGTGCAATATAAACAATGTTACCCACAGAAAGAGATACTGTTTTACAGTATCAAATAGGAGAGAGACCCCCTTGTCAGAGAGAGGGAACTGCACCATACAGGAAGAAATGCAATGGATCAAGGATATTGAGTAAAAGGACCATACACAGTACAATCCAATGTAAACAGCTGTATAGGAGTAAAAAGTAGAACTGAGCAACCAGAAAGAAAGGCGATTAATGAAAGGGAAAGAGGGGGGAAGAAGAGTCAAGAAAGCACACAAAAACCTTCCCTGAAGTGAAAAAGTGAAAAAAAAAATATGAACAAAGGATATCATGAGTAGGCCTAAATCATTAAAGATGAGAAGGATGGTATTGTTCATTTCAAATTTGCCACCACTAAAAGATGTGCGCATCATAAGGGTCTCAGTAGATGACACTCTACCCCAATGAGTTGCTACTGACTGAGTATAACAAAGGCTGCACTCTCTACTTTGCAGCTCTGATCAATAATGTAGTCATTAACCTCCCTGGCGGTATTCCCGAGTGTAGCTCAGGGTAAAGTTTCAGTACCACAAGCGGTAACCCCGAGCTACACTCGGGCTTACCATGCAGCGCTTCTCCACGATCCCCCGATCACTTACCTCCCACGATGTCCCTCCTGCAGTGTCCCCGGCAATGTAATCCAGCGGATGCCGGCATCTGTCATCTGGGTTCCGTTCCCTGTGAGCGTTGGGACGTACGGGGGACAGAACGGCGGGAAATTTGAAAATGACAAAAAGTGACATTCACTAAAATCACTAAAATGACATAGTAAAGCATTAGTGTATCAAACCATTTCACATACATTTTGTCCCTAGTGCTTTGTCCTGTGCCCTGCCTGCATTTTTACTGTTCTTTCTGCCTGGAAACTGAGAAATGTCCATGGCGTCCAAAAAGCGTCCCTTTAGGTCAAAAGCGGTTTTAGACCAGCTAGAGAACAGCGATAGTAAATCAGAACCACTTGCAGAATTGAGTGATAATGATTCATGGGGAAATTCGTCATCAGACACTGAAAAGGATTTTGCAAGTTTGCTCAGTGATGTGCAAACTTGGCGCTATATTTCAAATTTCAGTGTTTTTGGTTTGATTATATTATTGCATTTAATTTATTATTATTATATTATTATTTTTTATGATTATTTATTAAATTATAATTTATGATTTCGTGTTTCAAATTTTAACATACCCGGGATGTTTACTAGACTCTTGTTCGGAGTTATTCCTAAATATTACAGATTTCAGTGAGTTATTCAGTTAATCAGACCGCTAGGGAGGTTAAAGAGGGATTAAAGGAGAAGTACAGCCAAACCTTTTAGCTGTACTTCTCCTGTGGATCACAGGAGTGCAGTTCGTTCAGCAGTCCTGTGACCTGTTTTCAGCTGACAGCATGCTGAAGTCTGCTGTTGACTGACGTCTCTCAGCAAGTCCTGGCTGGGGAAAGATCCCAAGTTCAAAGTCAGGATCCACCTCAGTGTCTGGAGGAGCACCTGAGTTCTCACACTTGGAGGCAGAGGGGGACAGATGCAGCACTGGACTGATGATGCATCCACCTAGGTAAGTATGACTTGAAAAAAAAAAAACCCTGATACTTCTCTTTTAAACTATGTTGGCTGCACACAACAAAAGGCAAGCAAAAGGCAATAGACTAGTCACCAGTATTGCCTGTGGTCACCCTGAAGTTACTAACGTAAAAAGGAACTAAACCCTCCTATCCTTTTCAGCCAAGGAAGCTGTCACCTAGCCTCTGTTTGATCTGTGACTGCTATGATGCTGCACATGTGATCAGCTATTACTCTAGCCATTTGACGGTTTGACAGTTTGGTTGAAAGCACAAACAAATGTGACAGTTAGCATTTCCAACATGCTTTGAATGTAACTGTTCTTTAAAACTGTTAAATTGATACGTTTAGTTCTGCTTTAACATGCCTTGTTCTGCACTGTCCCTGTATGGAGACATGGAGGCCTCTTGGTAGAGGGAGCTTTTGCTTCCTTATGTCACAGTCCCCCGGAACAAGAGCATTGACTAGCATAGTAGTGACATCGCCAAAATCTTACTCCAATTCTTAAAAGACTGGCAGTCAGAGGCATCAGTCCCTGGGATATCATGCCACAAATGAACAGCTATGATGCTATATACACAGGATTACATAGGCACCCCTACATAGCAGGATGTGCACTGGTATTTTTCAGGAGAAATTCCAGACAAAGGTACATTTTTCACGGTATTGATTAGGCACAACTAACATTTCTAGATGTTACATATAACATAGCAAATCCTAATCTTTTCAGTTTAGGTTGACTTTTAAGCCTAACTGAACTTTTAGTTTAAATGAGCTAAATGCATTCCAAAAACATCAAAACAATAGACGTGAAATACACCATAGGACAGAAAGTGTGTTGCTGATAGGATCACAAAGGTACAGGTGTAGCGCCCCGTCAGCTAGGCTGTTAGGTAAATTTAATTATTGGCTCCACCATAGTAAGTGAAGTGGTTGTTTCCAGTTAGGCTGTTAGGAAAATTTAGTTTTTTGTTCTACTGTAGTGAGTTGTTGATTGTTTGGTCTGCTCAGGACTTCCAGGCTGAGAGTTTGATTGCTTCAGTTTGCCTCTGGAAGAAGCTTCCAGAGCATAGGGAATAGAGATTCAAATGATCAGCTGAATTTTATCATGATCTGGCAAGGTGATAAATGGTCAGGAGCCATGGACAGATAGTTCTTTCCTCATCAAAGAAGGTTCCAGTACATCTGGGGCTGTTGCCCCTAGGAGAAGAATCACTAAGACAAGAAACCACTGGTTAGGCCCCAGCATTTGCTGGGCTAGGGAGCCTAGAAGGACAGCTAGAAAGAGAATACTTGCTGAAGGGTGCTGTCAGGAGGAGGACTTTGTTGACTCCATGTTGAAGATCTACCTGAGGAGACTGGGTGCCTAGGACACTGTGAGTAAGGATCTTACTGGGGACTGACAGTTGCGTAGAAGCAGAAGAGAACCAGTTACTAATGGCTGCCCTGAGGTCTACAGCTGTGGGGCCTTACCAACATCACCATCTACCTCCAGAGAAGCTGACGCTGAGAAACTAGAGAGAGGCTAGTTATTCTGCTGTTGTTGCTATTCATTTTGGAGTATCCTGTGATCCTAAACCTCTCTTCTGTTAAAATTTCTTGAGCAATACATCCTAAAAAGACACTCCCTGGACTGAGTTGTGATGGTTGGTGTGCTTGGGTGACTGGTGGCCTCTGTACTGCTTAGAGAGAACCTAACTGTTGCCAGTGGCACCTTTGGGGGTGCGCACTATACAAATAAAAGAGTACGTAGCCTGAAAAAAAAGAAAACTAATGAAGCCACCTTGTCTAAAAACTGAAAAGCTGAAATATAACAAATTCTTGGGTGACACACTATGCCAGTACACCCCAAACCTTTCACTCATACTTGCATCTGGGAAGATTCAAGAAACAGGCTTGTTTTACTGCTCCACTTCCTATTGCACGGCATACAGGGTATCTTTAACTTTCTAGGGAAGGCTCAGATTAAGTTTACTTCACATGTAAATCAACTTCCCTCCATGTCCCAGATATATTTTCTCATATGTAGAATTCATTTATTTTGCAGGAGGCAGTCCTGATTAGCTAGTGCTTGATGTTTGATAAGCCATAGTCCTGATAGTTTTCACAATATGACCATTTGTTTGCAACTCACGCCGCCCATTGACATTTATTGAAACTCCACTCTAGCCACCTCAAATTTGAAGGGCAATTTCTAAACTGCGACTGTGCCTTCATTGTTAATATTTCAGAGACATACTATGCATCAAAATGTAGGTCTGGGTCTTGTGATTCTCACAATATAAAGCTCTCTGCTGTAGGATTTATAATTTTTAAACTACAACCGTTTGAAGATGGCAACCGCCAGTGAAGTGAGCAAGTTGGAGCAGTTTGTTTTTAACCGCTCCTCTGCCCTTGCTGTAGAGTGAGATTGCCATAGGGACCAAGGTATATGAGCAGGCAGCAGAGTGACAAGCCACTCCACCCAGTTACTCCACCCACTCCAGTTGTAGACTACTGGTGGAGGCAAGAACACTTCACACAATTTCCCCAGAAATTGTAGCTTTTCTAGTTTAATATGGTGCTGCTCAAACAGGGATCACAACATTAATTTATGGAAGAAGGGTTGAACTGCTGGCAAATTATTCAATATGTAGATAAAACACCAACATATTTATTCTTTACACAGTAAGCATGGTTATTGAGCTGACTCAGGAGTGTCTTTTCCCACAACAGAATCCTTCACGTGCTATGCTTCTTAGTGGTGTATTTCCAAAGAGACAGAATTCATCTGAAGGAACATTGCAACCCCCAGGCCAGACAATGAATGTTTGTGACTACAGTTTCCTTACAAACAGGATTCTTTTTTAAGTTTTAAAGTGGCATAGTCTGTGTAAGGCTTTTAGAACCCAAGTAGGTAAACAACATAAAGGGAGATCTTATCTAAAATGAATAATGGTGAAGGGGAAGTTCTGCCTTAAAGACTGGTCCCCCACTCCCCATTAAGGATTGGCACCTTTGGGAGGTGGGGGGGAGCGGGTACCCGAATTTGACAGGTACCCGCTCCCACTTCCGCTCCAATCGCCTAGGCGATTGGAAGTGGAAGGTGTCCTCCTTTCCTCCCTCCCTGTAGTCTTTTGGGACACGTGACAGGTCCCCGAAGACTACAGAACCATTCAGGAAGCACAGCACTACTCGCGCATGCGCACTGGGTATCCGGCTGTGAAGCCGCAAGCTGTCACAGCCAGGTGCCCACAGTGAAGATGCCGGCACCATCTATATGTAGAGCAACAATTCTTTTTTGCAGATCCTCAGAGAGTTCTTTGCCATGAGGTGCCATGTTGGACTTCCAGTGACCAGTATGAGAAAGTGAGAGCGATAACACCAAATTTAACACACCTGCTCCCCATTCACACCTGAGACCTTGTAACACTAACAAGTCACATGACACCGGGGAGGGAAAATGGCTAATTGGGCCCAATCTGGACATTTCACTTAGGGGTGTACTCACTTTTGTTGCCAGCGGTTTTAGACATTAATGGCTGTGTGTTGAATTCTTTTGAGGGGACAGCAAATTTACACTGTTATACAAGCTGTACACTCACTACCTTACATTGTAGCAAAGAATCAATTTCTTCAGAGTTGTCACATGAAAAGATATAATAAAATATTAACAAAAATGTGAGGGGTGTACTCACTTCTGTGAGATACTGTAAGTACATGAAATAAATAAATAATAAGGCTGTCAGCTTTTTAGTATTTTTTATTAATTCAGTTAATACATTTTGTATAATATTGTTACATATACGCATCCATAAATGCTAGACTGTTTATTGTGGATTAGGAAGTGGGTTAACATTCATTTTGCCAAAATCTGAAACACAGGTTTTGGCAGAAACACAAGCTTTTAAGACAGCTGCCACATTGGAACTCCCTAAAACATCTTATATGTTAACTCATTAAGAAATTGCCACACATCAGCAATGACAAGAAGCATCAATTTCTGTTGTTTTGGAACAACTGTCTTGCGAAAAAGCTTTAGAACACTGTAGACTACTGTATCTTTACACTCTGGACAACAAGACCTTTCATGGACATTGTTTTCTGAAAACAAAAGACATTCTAGGATGTGAACCTGTTATAATATAAATAAACTAGCAGAATCATATAAGCACCTAATATTGTAATGTAGCTATTAGTAAACTATATAATAATTCTTTTCTTTATTATTGCTACCACAGAACATACTTACAATGCTTCTCAGCAATTACATTGCTTTGAAAAGTATTTGCCAGTTTGTATCACAAAATCCTTAAAGCGGAGTTCCACCCAAAAGTGGAAGCTCTGCTTTTCTGCCTCCTCCCCCCCCCCCCCTCCACTGCCACATTTGGCACCTTTAGAGGGGGAGGGGGGAGCGGGCACCTGGCTTTGGCAGGTACCCGCTCCCACTTCTGCCTCAGTTTGCCGCAGCAAACTGAGCCGGAAGTTTAGCCCCCCTTACAGCCCTCTGGGACATTTCCAAGGTCCCAGAGGACTTGCTACCTATTCACTAAGCACAGTGTGGGTGGAGGGGGCAGCTGGTTTTGACAGGTACCCGCTCCCACTTCCAGCTCAGTTCGCCGTGGCGAACTGAGCCAGAAGTTCAGCCCCCCCTCGCAGCCTTCTGGCACATTTCCAAGGTTCCAAAGGACTGTGACACACTCACAAAGCACAGCGTGCTTCCTGCATGCGCAGTAGGTAACTGGCAGTGAAGCCGCAAAGGCTTCACTGCTGGATTCCCTTAGTTAAGATGGCGGCACCAGAACCCAACAGCTGAATGAAGAATCCGCTTGGGGTGAGGACACCGCTGGACCCCTGGACAGGTAAGTGCCCTAATAATAAAAGTCAGTGGCTACAGTATTTTTATTTTGGGGGGGGGTTGGCCGGGGGCTGAAACTCCACTTTAAAGTGACTCTAATTGTTATCATTATTCTCCAAAAATAGTCCATATGCAGCCATTGTTTGTGACTCTGTTATCTATTTTTGATTAAATTGTTTATTACTGTGTTTTCTTTCTTCTGGAAATGTCTTCTGTGAATTCAAAATCCTCTCTCTTTCCCTTAATTTTCATTTGTTTGAAACGAGCAGTGCATGTTAGGTGCGGTCATGGACAATGCTCTATGCACACAACAAATCCCATAGTCCATAGTTCAGAATCCCTCGTCCATCTCAGAAGCAAGCAAAAGAGGCTGGCTACATTCCTACATACAGTTGGATCATGACAATGAACACAGCCACACTTGAAGAGGAATCAAATCACATCAGAAAAAAAGGAATTTGGGGATTTGGAGGAGACTAAAAGCAAGTGTAGGTACTTTCTAAGTTAAGAATATATACTGGAATAATATTTTATTTTTTTAAACCAGAGTTTAGTGTCACTTTAAGGGCCCATACAGATTTATATGCCAAAGTACATTTCTACAATGCACAGCAATACATGTACCATGGTATGGTGAGTGTACAAATTATTTAAAGTCATGTGATGATTCACTGAGGAGCATTAGTAATTTTTGGACCAAAACGTGGCAGTTTAGAACAAAATTGGGGCAACTCCCAAATATATATTGGACGAGGTGTTTAGAGATGCAGCATATTAAATCTCCACTGGGTTGGACATCTTCCTCTTCTGCTCCCACACATCTACCCAGCTGCAACAGAGTCTTCACTCTCAGTAGACCTGACTCATGGTCTCCTAATAAATTATTGAGTGCATGTGACTTCTGCGAAGTGCATTCATCCAAAGATTGGTTTGTTATTTTAGGAAGCCTCACTCAGGCAAATAACTTTGTACAACTAGAGTTACTAATAATTGAAGTCACAGAATTGATTTTTTTCTTCCAGATGACTAATGATCTCTGTTCATCACAGCTGATTGTTAACTGCTTCCCCGCCCACCCAGTAGCAGAAGTACGATTCCGCCCCGTGAGGACGTCGGATGACGAAACTAGTAGGGCGGGGTTTCTTTTGGATGTGACGTCAGGACGCTCCTCGTAGACTGTCGGCTGTGATATCGCGGTGAGCGAGGCTCGTCCCTGCTTTCTTGAGGCTGTCACTGCTGGTGTCGGCTAGACACCCTGTTTGTGAGTGCATTTCTGACCTTTTAATAAAACATTTTGGTTTTAAACGTACTGCACCATGATTTCCTTTTCTGATTCCCCGAACATGATCTATGGTATGGAGCGTGATGACTACCTGCTGTTAAAGTCTATTCCATATTGTGCTGACTGGCTGCTTGCAGTATATTGCTCCCAGTTTGGATTACTTCTGCTGATCATCGCTCCCAGAGCAAACGCTATCTTTGCTGACTTATAATCTGGTCAGCATGGAGCTCTAGTGAGTGTACCCATTTCATTCGGTGGTGGATTTTTTTTTTTTGCACGGTGTTTGATTTATACAAGATTTCAGAACTGTTTAATTACTTTGTTAAGGTGGATGGACTTTAAAATAATGATGTCCGTGATAGAAAAAATTTTATATAAAACTAATAATTTTTGTATTTACTTATATTTAGCGCACTCTTTGATTTATTCACTGCTACAGGGTGGCACGGGTGGGCAAAATCACGTGAGCGCCCTACCCACGCTGCCTCAGCTGTCAATCACCGGGTCCCGCTCAGTGATTGCCGAGCATCTCCAATGGGGGGGGGGAGAACTGTTTGTAAAAATACAGTTCTCTCCTCTGTCAGCTCCTGCACACTGCTTTGCATGGCTGTGCATAGCAGAGCCATGCAAAGCAGCGTGCTTACAGTGAAGCAGACACACAGGACACAATGTAAAATGGCACAGAGAACACAGTTAACCCTTTGACCACCCCACATGTTAACCCCTTCTGGCCCAGTGCCATTACTACAGTGTCAGTGCTTTTTATTAGCACTGATCACTGTATTGGTGACACCAAGTCAGGTCCCCCAGTGTCAGAATGCCCACCACAGTCTCGTAGTCCTGCTATAAGTCACTAATCGCCGCCATTACTAGTGAAAAAAAAAAATTCCAGTAAATATACCACCATTTGTAAACACTATAACTTTCAGGCAAACCAATTAATTTACACGTATTGGGATTTTTTTTAGCAGAATGCATTTTGGCCTAAATTTATGATGAAATTTGATTTTTTAAATTTTTTTACTGGACATGTTTAATAGCAAAAAGTCAAAAATATTGTTTTTTTTATCAAAATTGTCATCCTTTTTTTTGTATATTGCAACGAATAAAAAACGCACAGGCAATCAAATACCACCAAAAGAAAGCTATATTTGTGGGAAAAAAGGACGTGAAATTTAATTTGGGTGCAGCGTTGCATGACCGCGCAATTGTCAGTTAAAGTAATACAGCACCATAACGCAAACTAATGGCCCGGTCAGGAAGGTGAGTAAATCCTCTGGAGGGCAAGTGGTTAAGGAATAACTGCAGCATAATCTAAAATGATACAAATTTTTAAATATGTCAGTGTTAAAATCTATGCAAAAAGAAGCGAACCTAAAGTCAGCCATACATGGGTCTAATTCCGAAATAATTTTCTTTTCCAAAACCTTTTCTAAGAATATTCATTCGAATTTTGCACCATTAGTGGGCCACAGCAATGGTCGATTTTCAAGCAACCATCGAATTTGAGTGATTTGGTAAGTGGGAAATTTTTTTTAAAATGAACGATTTCCTAATTTATGATGGAGGAATTGTGTGAGAAATGCAATTTAAAACAAAATGAGCATGAGCTATGACCTGGAAAGAAAAAAATTCTTGGCCACGAAAATTATTTTCTGTAGCAATATGAAGGCTTGGTTGGTCGAATTTCCAAATCAATGGTGGCACCATCGGATTACAAAATGCACAAAATTTCCGTTTTTCTAAAGAAAATGTGTTCAGAATTCGCCCCATGTATGGCCTACATAAGAGTTACCTAAAGCCTGCCACACATGGGTCGAATTCCGAAAGAATGTTATAGTGTATGGTGAGCTCTAAAGAACCCAGGACACACGTCTCCTGTTTTCAATACTACAGCTCTATCCACATAGGTAGTTATCTGATCGCTCATCATCCTCTGCACACTCTGCTAACACTCCGGTCGCATGGGTGCGACTTGGCATGCGATTTGCATGCCATGCGACTTGCAAATCGCATGCCAAGTCGCACCCTTTTGTCTGCAATTACAGCGGTCAATTTTTAAAGTAGTACATGCGCTATTATATGTGCGATTTGCATAGACATCTGTGTCAGATGTCTTGTAAATGGCACCTGAAATCAGAATGTCCCCCAACTCTGAAATCGTGCGGCTTCACTGTAAGGCTGGCCATACATTATACAATTTTTTGGAGAATTTTGCTTTAGATTTACCAAAAACCATATAATATGAGGTCAAACCTAAACAACACTTTCAATTATATCCAATTTGCAGGCCCTTGCACTACATAGTTGAAGGTTAATCTAAAGGAAATTGGGCAGAAATTGGACAGAAAATTGTAATTGTATCGTATATGGCCAGCCTTATGCAGGCCATAGATGGGGAGAAAACCGGCCGATTTTTCTTTTAAAAAAACAAAAAATCGGTCGTTCAAGCAGCCAACGTTACCAGGAATGGTAAAAAAAAAAAAAATCGGCCGATTTTCATCCCGTCTACAGCCGGCAAAAAGTGTCCCTGCAGAGAGCTCCGCTATTTCTTTGACAGTTCTTTGACATTTATAGCGGTTGCAACATTGTATCTATTTGTATCCATTTAGGATACAGATGTTTTTATTCGGAAACAAATAGATACAATGTTGCAACCGCTATAAGTGTCAAGGAACTGTCAAAGAAATAGCGGAGCTCTCTGCAGGGACACTTTTTGCCGGACTGGAATTCCTCTTCTTCTTCATCCTCTTCTTCTTCCTCTTTTTCTTCTTCTCCTCCTCCTCTTCTTCTTCCTCTTCTTCTTCCTCTTCTTCATCTCTTCTTCTTCTTCTTCTTCATCCTCTCTTCTTCTTCATCCTCTTCTTCTTCTTCATCCTCTTCTTCTTCTTCCTCTTCTTCATCCTCTTCTTCTTCTTCTTCTCTTCTTCATCCTTTTCTTCTTCTTTCCCTCTTCTTCTTTTTGTCTTCCTCTTGCAGGTCACTGCTCATGCGCAGATTTTTTTAGCGGTAAAAAGATCGGCCGATTTGCCCATAATTGCCGTGAAAATCGGCCGATCGGCAAAATCGCCCAATTTTTTTCCAACTTTACCGATAAAAAAAATCTGCCAAAATACCGAAAAACGGCCGAACAATTAGCCCACTAACGATCTGAAAATCGGCCAATTTTTATTTTTGGACGAAAAATCGGCTGATTTTTGGATTGTTAGTGGGCTAATTGTTCGGCCGTTTTTCGGTATTTTGGCAGATTTTTTTTATCGGTAAAGTTGGAAAAAATCGGGCATTTTTGCCGATCGGCCGATTTTCACGGCAATTATGGGCAAATCAGCCGATCTTTTTACCGCTAAAAAAAAAATTTTTTCAAAAATTTTTAAAAAATTTTATTTTCGGCCGAAAAATCGGCCGATTTTTGACCCATCTATGGCCTGCATATGTCACACGATTTCAAAGTCAGGCTTGATGTGACCTGGGTGTTAGTGAACGATCTATGCAAGATGAAGAAAAATTTACACCTGTGTATTTAGTGAAAACAGTGATCACTGATTATTTGTATTGGAAAACCGTGCACCTGTGGAAGTGGGTGGTAGTGATCTGATAGAAGGAGGGAGAGGCAGTCACAGGTGTGCACTAATGAGGTCAGCTGATGAAATGCTTCCTGTGTCTTACTGGTTTTTCTGTCCTAAGTCACTGGTCACACTGTTGCGATTTAAATTGCGTGAATTGTGT